CCTAGCCTAATTAAAGATGATTAAGGAAACACATGTATTTGGTGATGATGCCAGGGAATTTCTGATAGAAAGGAGTGTCTGGGTTTAGAAAACTGGCACAGCTGGGAAAAAGAGCCTTTTTTACCCGAGTGTGAAAGGATTTTGCTGTTGTCTCCATAAGGAGACCTCAGCATGTGAATTCCTGTCTAGGCTCCAAGTGTTATGGAATCTGAGTTCCTTTTCCTTCCTTGCTATGGTTAATGAATCCCCTCTTTTTGCAGCTCTGCTGTTGCAACAGCCCCTGCAGCTCCAAGGAGAGGGAACAAAATTCAAAGTCTGTAAACATTGCCCAGGCTAAATATTAATGCTTCCAGGATGCCTCTGGAAATGAGTAACTGCTGTCCTCACTTTGGGAAACCCACAGGGTGGTGCGTGCCCTCAGAGGCTGCCTGCAGCTCAGCCCTGGGCAGCTCTTGGCCCCACGTGCTGTCAGTGCCAAGGTGGACCTTAACTCTCCTCTGGGTTTTCTGCCTTGCAGCAGAAGAAGTCATACCTGGAGCGGAGCGTGAAGGAAGCAGAAGATAACATCCGGGAAATGCTGATGGCGCGGAGGGCGCAGTAGCTGTGTGATTCTCCCTGGCCTCCCGTGACACCCCCTGGGTGGGAGCAGCTCTGCCTGCGCGACCCCAGTCTGTGGCAACTCCAATAAAACTCTGCTGCAAAGCCTGAGCTTGTTTGCACTGCCTGCCACCTTGGCGTCTCACGGTGCCTGCTCTCCCTGTGGGGATTTGGTGGAGAAAGGAGATGGGGTGCGATCTGGGATGAGGGCCCTTCAGGGACTCCTGCTTCACTCCAAAGGAGCTGTCGCCCTCACCCTCTGGGAAGGCCCGGCATGTTCCTCGGCCCTGGGCACCAGGGAGGGCTCGCTGTGTTGCTCTGCTGGAGCCGGGCTGGCAACACTGCAGTGGGGAAGGGCCGGGCAGAGCAGCATCAGCCGGCACAGGCACCTCCAGGCTCATGACAGGTGGTCATTTATTCTGTCTCGGCTACAACAGGCCCTGGTTCCCTCCTTGTTTAAAGGGGCCTGGCAGAGCCCCAGCGCAGCTGTGAGCTCATGGAAGGCCAGTGCCACCCTGTGCTTCATGCCTGCAGTGCACCAGCCCGGCCTCTCCTTCCCCTGCTCCTGGCTTTGGTGCTTCTCTGAAATGGAGCTTTCAGGGACATCTCCTCTCTTGCCAGCAGCTGCTTGGGATCTCGGAGCTGGGCAGGAGTTTCCAGGTCCCTCTGCCGACCCCCATCACTGTGGACTGGCCCTTTGCCACCCCAGATACATCACCTCCTCACCAGCTGGTCTGGCTTAATCTTTGCCAGCGATCACACACCTGCACTGGCTGCAGTTGTTGCCCCATGGACGTGGGGGCTATGGGCTGATGCCCCCAGTGCACTCACACTCTGCAGGCACATGTGCACACTCAATAGGAAGTCCTCACCCAGGACAGAGTTTAAGAGGAATTTAATAAGCTCGGACAGACTGCACTGATCAGGCACTGGCTGCGCATACTGCCCAGATGGTTACACCCAATGGTCCTCTCAACCCCACACTTCACTAATTTTCCACACACTTATTACTCCTAAAAAATCACCTCCACTAAACATCCCATAGCAAATCCTGTGCAATCCCAAACAGCTTTTCCCTGTATCCGATAACGCAATCCAATAATCACCCCAGGCATCATTCCCTTATTCCAAAAGGTGGTCTGGACATCTGCTCTGGGTCACACGGGGGACCCAGTGTGGGCGCTCTGGGGACAGCCCTTGGAAAGACCCCAGATAAGGGCCTTGTGTCGTTGGGTGGGGTTCCTGCCTGCCATTGTGTCCATGGGCTCATCTGGGCTGTGACTGGACCTGTGCGGGGCTGGTGGTCCCTGGAGTGACCCAGCTGGGGATTACGTGGGCTCCCCTCCTGCTGGGTCTCTATGTGGGTGGGCAGAGCTGCTCCAGCCCATAACCAACCACCAGCTCCCGTGTCTGCTGGCTTCCCAGCTGTGGCTCTGGTGCTGGCTGGCCTCTGCCAGCTACCATGCATGGCAGCACCCAGCGGGGGTTGGCACACCTGGACCTGGTGTCCCCGTCCTCCCCCCCCCCAGGTTTGGTCCTGAGGCAGGGTGCGTCAGCTCATAGCTGTTAGGTGGGAGTGTCGACCTGCAGAGGGATCTGGACAGGCTGGATGGTTGGGCTGAGGGAGCAGCTCTCTGTGCCCACAGAGATTCTGTGTCTGTGCAGCTGGTTTGGGTTATTCTTTAGTATTCTTAGTATTCGGTATATCTTAATATTCAGGATGCCCATGAGCCAGCAATGGGCCCTGGTGGCCAAGAAGGCCAATGGCATCCTGGGGGGCATCAAGAAGAGTGTGGAGAACCTCCAGGGAGGTCATCCTGCCCCTCTGCTCTGCCCTGGGGAGGCCCCAGCTGGAGCACTGGGATCCCATCATTCCAAGAAAGCCATGGAGGGGCTGGAGCGTGTCCAGAGAAGGGCACCGGGGCTGGGGAGGGGTCTGGAGACCAAGGAGAGGATCTGGAGAACTTGTGAGGGAGCTGGGGGGGTTCAGCCTGGAGAAAAGGGGAGACCTTTCTGGGTCTCTATGTGGGTGGGCAGAGCTGCTCCAGCCCATAACCAACCACCAGCTCCCGTGTCTGCTGGCTTCCCAGCTGTGGCTCTGGTGCTGGCTGGCCTCTGCCAGCTACCATGCATGGCAGCACCCAGCGGGGGTTGGCACACCTGGACCTGGTGTCCCCGTCCTCCCCCCCCCCAGGTTTGGTCCTGAGGCAGGGTGCGTCAGCTCATAGCTGTTAGGTGGGAGTGTCGACCTGCAGAGGGATCTGGACAGGCTGGATGGTTGGGCTGAGGGCAAAGGTATGAGGTTCAACAAGGCCAAGTGCCGGGTCCTGCACTTGGGGCACACCAATTTCATGAACGCTCCAGGCTGGGGGAAGAGTGGGTGGAGCTGCCTGGCAAAAAAGGACCTGGGGTTTTTGGTCAACAGAGGCTGAATATGAGTCAGCAGTGTGCCCAGGTAGCCAAGGAGACCAGCACCATCCTGGCCTGTATCAGGAACAGTCTGACCAGATTGTCCCCCTGTACTGGGCACTGGTGAGGCTCCCCACCTCAAATATAGTTCAGTTTTGCACCCTCATGACAAGACATTGAGGGGCTGGAGCGTGTCCAGAGAAGGGCAACAGAGCTGGTGAGGGGTCTGGAGCACAAGTCTTGTGAGGAGAGGCTGAGGGAGCTGGGGGGGTTCAGCCTGGAGAAAAGGGGAGACCTTTTTGCACTCTCCAACTCCCTGAAAGGAGGGTGTAGCTGGGGGGGGGTGTGTGTGTGTGTCAGTCTCTTCTCCCAAGGAATAGGCGATGGGACAAGAGGAAACAGCCTCAAGTTGCACCAGGGGAGGTTTAGGCTGGATCTTGGGAAACATTTCTTCACCAAAAGGATTATTACACATTGGAAGAGGCTGCCCAGGGCAGTGGTGGAGTGGCCATGGCTGACTGTGCAGGGCTGGGGGCTCATCTTGTGACTGACGAGGCCATTTCTGGGAGCAGCCAAGGCTGGGGGGGCGGTGTGTGTGGGCTGCCTGCTGCATTAGGACCAGGGGCTGGAGGGAGGGGAAAGCAGGGGCACGGGTGCAGGGCAGCTGAACCCTCCACTTTTAACCCCCTGCCAAGGCGGAGTGAGCTAGGGACCACGCTGCTGCCCTGCCGGGGAGGTGACAGAGTGATCCAGAAGGTGACAACAACCATTTCCAGGGCAGGAAGAATCCAGCAGCAGAGCTGAGCTTAAGGCTACGGCCTGCCAGGGGGCTGGAGGGCTCTAGGCGCCCTCATCAGGCCAAACCAAATCATCTCACTCCAGACCAGAGCCCCCAAACCGCACTTCTCAGACCCAGGCAGAGGTGCACCGAGCGTCTGGGCTGTGCCGGATGCAACAGGCATCTGGTCAGGGGGAACTGCCAGAGAAAAATGCACAGAGGAACCCAGCGAGGTGCCTTGTGAGGCCTCATCAAGCCTTGCAGCATGGCAGCCCTGGCCCTGCCATGTAGTTGGCAGCTAAGCCCTGGCCTTACGTTGTTCCCTCAGGCCTGGACGCCGGCCCCAGGCCCACATGGGAGCAGAGCCTCAGGGTCCAGACGAGCACAACCCTCGTTTAACTCAGCACAGGCCACCCTTCCCTCTCCCAGCACCCACTGGCAGGGCCCTGGGAGCTGGATGCAGTGCACACAAAGCAAGGGAGGGCAAGCACAGCGCCCTTTGAAGCCCTGAAGTGATTCTCAGGCAATACAAGGCAAAGCCAATTCAGTTCAGACTATCAGGGTGGGTTTTGCACCCCAGGCGGGGAGATCAGCAGGGCAGGGGATCAGCACCACCTCCCCCGAGCAACTAGCAGCAGGCTTCTCTGCTTTTCTCCAGATGAAAGCTTTTTATTCCCCTTCTAGGTAGGCATACCATTAAACAGCTTCAGCTACAAATCCTCAGCACTAAATTAATCCACGGCCTTGTTTCTTCGTATCCATTAGTTTACACCCCCCACAGCAGGGGGATGATGGATTGCTGCTCAGAATCCCTCAGTGGGACCAGTCACCCCCAGGAGCTGCTGGCACACATGCAGCAGCTCTGCGTGCGCTTCCCCCAGCTCTCTGGCAGCCATCCCAGGAGCTGCTGGAGAGGCCCCCGGTCCCAGAAGGGGACCTGCATGTCCAGCCCTGAGCTGCTGGGTGTGGGATGAGAGGTGGTGGCAGTGTTGGACACAGGTGCTCCACCCCTGCCCAGCCCAGCCGCTGTCAGGGCTCATGGACCAGGCTGCTGCAGAAAAGCCCCCAGATGGTGGTAAGAGCAGGGCCAGACGCCCCCGGTCCAGACCCCATAGAGGAGCTGAGGCAGGAACTTCTGCAGTGAAGCAGCTTGAAGCGAAGTCCATCATTGCTGCTGCAGAGTCAGTGTATGCAGGAGGCTGAGAAGAGACAGCGATGGGGTAAGCACACCCTCTACGGCAGAAATTTATTGAAACAGTCAGGACCTAGCAAAGAAAATCAACCATTGCCTTTAATTATTGCATATGTCTTCATTTCTAGGACTAGGAAAATTTCCACTGATAAATATACATTTCATCAGAATGCCTTTGGCTGAAATATACCATTAGCACATTCTTCAAAGTTACAACAAAAGTCTTAGAAATGTTAAAAAGGGATTTCTCCGTTACTAAAATAAAGGAGTGCACCCCCCACCCCAACAAGGCGCTAGGACGGACAGACGGGAACTCGTGGCTGTGCAAAGCAGAGCGTTGATTACAGTAACAGAAAGAAGTTGGGACGGGAGTGGGGAGCCTGCATAGCACTCAGTGAGAGGTACAGGACGCGGCCGCAGAGGCGTCAGGTCAGCATGTCCCACAGGCAGCAGCAGCAGAGCGCGGTCCAGCACGCTGTCAGGCAGGCACTCTCGCCTGTGTCATCCCTCCGCCGCTCCTCCACCACGTACACTGCGGGGACAGGAGAGCTTGGTCAGTCAAAGAGCAGCGCACAATGCCCTCAGCATCCCACCACCCGCCTCTGCCGCCCCAGCACAGCTGCGGTGCCCCTCCGAGTCCCCACGCTCACTCCAGGTAGCCCAGGCTTGCTGGAGACAGCACAGGCGAGCACTCGAGGGAGGGGAGGTGCCGAACTGCTGTGCTGGGTTTTGCAGCCCCTTGGGCAGGAAGGGTCCTGGGAGAAGCACTTCTTTCCGCAGCCGGTCGTACGCTGCTGGGACTGCACAACGTCATGATCTCAACACAAGCAGCCGGTTCAGGTCAGCCAGGACCAGATTTCTGTTATGCCATGCACAGTTACTGATCGAGAAAACTGGCTCAGCCTGGATGGTGTCTGCTCCCAGTGAGCTGCCCCTTGGGAGCACTTGTGCCTCCCTGCCTCCCCCACTGCCCTCGTGGAGCTTGGGCTATCACACCCAGAACTGCAGCAGTTTCCTTCCCTAAAGCTTCCTTAGGTCTGTTTGTTGTGGTCTGTGTGGGAAATGTGCCCTCACACAGGAGTCTGACCCAAGCAGGCAGCTGGTGCTGTAAGTCGCGTGGCTGCACACGTGGTGTTGAGAGGCTCAGGCCATCAGCCCAGCCCTCCCACAGCCTGATTCCGAGCACAGCATGCTCAGAAAAACGTTGTTCCCCTCTCAAGAGCGATGGGTGGAGGACGATGTGCTCTAGCTTACATTACACCAAAATCCTGCCACCGTCAGGGGTGGGCAGAGAGAGGAACAGCCCCCACAACTGCCTGCCCTCAGGTAGGGGCTGTTCCCCAGCCTCAGGCTGCCTCCCCCTTGCCCAGGGGAATACGGCTGGGAGGGTTCTGCTGTGCTCCAGAGGAGCCACTGCACGGCCCCGCTTCCCATCCTTCCCTCCAGGGCTTTGCCTGTGAGCATTCAGTCACAGCCTGGGGTACCCTGGCTCCAGAAATGTCAGGCAAAGCACTTCTCCAGCCAGCCCCAGAAGGAGGCGGCAGGTGCTGCAGTGCTGTGACATGCTGTGCTGGAGCAGGAAGAGGTGCCACATACTCTGCTCCCGCAGGCTCTGCCTGCCCCTGCGGAGCCAAAGCAGGCACCTCTGAGCAGAAGCCCACCGGGGCCTGAGGGGCTGTTGGGCAGTGCCACAGATCAGGGGACGCTGCCTCATCCCCTCCCCACACCCAGGGCCACAGCACTGCCACAGCAGCAAGGAGTGCAGAGCCACGTCAGACCGGTGAGCCCAGCACCCTGGCTTCTTCCTGCAATCCAAGAGAGCCTATTTCATCCCTGTGACAGGGTGGACCACAGACCTATCCCAGTCAAAGGAGGAATCTGTCCCAAGGCAGACAGGACTTTGCTCCCTCCTACCTGCCCGCAGCCCCAAACTCACACTCAGGACCATGCGTGGAAGACTTGAAAGGGCTTCATGTTCAAAAGCATGAAGACTTTAGTGTTTCACCTTACACAGCATTATAGCAGCAGATTTCTATTCACTGCCTGTTCTCCTCGGTGAGGTGATCCAGGTCCGCTGGCTCCCGTACACCTCCGTGCAGTGCAAACTGTCACCAGGCGGCTGGTCCGTGCCCAGAGCACGGGGCCACAGCAGTCACCGCCTGCGCAGCACTGGGAAGGAAGGGACCTGTGTCCTGCTGCCCAGGGAGAAGCTGGCTGAGCTGAGCTGCCCAGAGTGTTTTGCTTTCCTTCCCCAACCCGCACTGCCGGGAGCAGCTGGACATCCTGATACTTCATCATTTACCCTCCTCATCTGAGCAGCATTCTTCCCTGCAGCAGACAGCACTGCCCTTCTGTCTGGCTTAACATACTAAGCCACAAGAAGAGACGTGAGCCCTGGTGTCACACACTGCCTTTGTGCAAACCCAGTCACAGGACGGAGCTGTTGGGGAAGGGGAACCGCAGGGCAGAGCTGCACAGAGAGAGAGTTCAGCTTGCAAGGGCCAAAGGAGGCACTGGTGTGTTTCAGGCTGGGAAAAACCTTCTGGCTTTTCTTCCCCTGGTGGATCCAGGAGCTCTGAACAAGCTTTGGTGCTTTTGTTTCTTCTGAGAAGGCCCTGTCACAATGAGCAAAGGCAAAACTCATACCAAATGTTCCAACAGTCCTGCTTAAGACAATGTCATGCAGTTGTTGGGCAGGGCAGAGCGCAGATACCATAGGCAGCGATAGCCAGGGATCCTCACCAGAATGGGGTACCAGCCACGTTCTCCTGCCAGCATTCAGGTGGGAGAAGGTGCTCACTGGCTCCTGCCACCCCTCAGAGCAAACAGCCAAGGGTGCTTTCTCAGGAAGCTCCCAAACCAGCTCCTTATGCTGGAGCCCTGAGGCAGCTCTGGTTTCTAACCAGCTGCCAGGTGCCATTCAAGCTGTCCTGCTTCATAGCCATGGAGAGCTAGATACTGCTGCTGCCAGAGCATTGCTACACCCAAAGGTGTGCCACGGTGTCCTGGAGACATCCAGATCCATGCAGCAGAAGGGGGCTGGGAGGATGCTTAGGGGAGCCCTGTTTCCTGGTGGTTTGGAGGCAGCAGGGTGACTCTGACCTCTGGAAAACACCAGCAAGAACAGATACCACAGAACTGCCTCTAGAGCAAGTCCTTGCAACTTCAGACTGAGTGAAACCCAGGGGAACCTGACACCCCTCCCTGCCCCAGAAAAAGCTCTGCAGCATGTGACAGTCCCAAATCTGGTGACCGGGGTAAGGTTACACTGCTCCGGGAGTGCCCTCAGCTCCCCTGCTGAAGCAGCTGGGATGGACTGAGCTCTCAGGCCAACAGCACCCTCTTCTCTGAGCACAAAGGCTGGCACTTCACACCAAGTGCAGGCACACCTAGCTGGCTGCCAGCAGGCATCTGCCGACCAGAGGAGGCCATGTCACCGCAACACAAACCACGGGCTGGGGGGCAGTTACTAGTTTTGGCCCCCACGGTCAAGCCCATCTTCACCTGGCTGAAGGTGGCCATATCTGTAGCTGCAGCAAAGGCACCATGCAGGGAAGAGCTCTCACACCACTGACATTTACTGCTAAAGCAGTGTTACTCTCTGGCAGCTCAGCCCTAAGATACCGAGGAGCAATGCTGGGGCATACAAAAGACACACATTATTTTAAAGTGGTAGACTAACATTGGAGACTTGTCAGTCCTCCATCACAGCACACAAACCAGTCAAGGCTTTTGTTGGTTAGTTGCCAACTTGCAAAGAAGTCTGTGAAATTGAGTCTAATTGCATACTCTGCTGGAAGATGGGACTGTATAACCTTCCCCACCCCAAAGCAGAGTTGAAATGGATGCCACCCTGTGCAATTTATAGCAAGCTGTCCATGACTCCAGGCATACAAGAAAAGTTTGCCTGAAGTACTTATGATTATTCCATTAGAAGTTTTAAACTACAGCCAAGTGCCAAGGATGCACTGACAAAGCACATTCAAAGCATATATAAAGCGCTGCTATTGAAACACTTGCTGAAATATTCAACAAAAAGGCTATTCCAAATCCGGGCTGTGCAGAGGGAGAATGGCACTTGTGCTGCGTGGCCACTCGCGTGATGCTCCCTCAGCACAAGTGGTTCATGGCAGCAGTGGGCATTGCTCCTCCCCAGCCAGCCAGCACCTCTGGCTGCCTGCACGGCCCTGCTGCCGGCAGCATGTGCTGGGAGGCTCTGCACTGAACTGACTGATACACAGGAACAATTGCCCACTAGTGATTTGGGACAGGACTGGGGCAGAAAAAGGGACAGCAGCCGCGTCAAGAGCTTTCCAGGACTCACCATGGGTTTGGAGGTATGTGCTTTCCTGTTAGAAACAGTGAAACAGCAGTAGGGAGAGACCACATCTTTTCACTCTCTTCTGCTAAGAAATGGAAGTCATTTAAACCAGGAATACATTGTGGCACAACTACCTTCCTGCAGAAACACTCTGAGAAAACAATGTGTTTTTCCCCATGCAGGGGTTACATTACTTTACCATTTCCAAGTTGAAGGAAAGCCCCAAAGATGACCATTTGAAAAACACACTTGAGAAGTCGCTCCCTTCCACCACAGAGTTCCTCCCCCAGAGAAAGCAAGAGTCTCAAGAGGGCAGCTCTCTGCCACTGCCAGCTCACAGGAGCTGGTGTCAACTGCTGCTGTGGTTTGAGAAGAAATACAATCGCCACCGAAAGTTTTCAGACTTCAAGAGCCCCTGGGCAATACTCTACTAAATAAAAACAACCACCTCTCCCTTACAGTTTGAGTTTAATGATCATTTTCTTTGAAACTTCATCAATCCTTCAGAAGTTGTAGCTCTGTCGCCATCACGAGACAAATTGCCAGAGAAACTTTAAAAAACCACAGTCATACAGCATTAATGCTGAAAAGCTTTTCTCAGCGACCAGTTGGGTGTTGGGGCAAGAGAGGAGAAGAGCAGAACAGAACTATTCACTTACAGCTAGCAAAGTGCACTGGGTAAAGAACAGTTCAAAGGAAGGCTGGATAAACTATTCCCAGCCAAGCCTCTCATTAAGATGAAGACATCCAATATCAATCCTCATCTTGGACACTGCACAACTGAACATCAGCCTCAAAGCACTAACACTGATACAGCGACAGAAGTGCCCAAGGAAACCAAGAGTGCATGGTAGCACCTTTATTCACTCTTCCCAGTCAACGTGTTAGGGCTATGTTAAATGCAGAGGATCCCCTGTAAACAGCACAGTAAGAGACAGCAGAACAAAACCCATAGTGCCTCACTCAGTCCTCTTAAAACTATTTCGTTAGGAAGCCTCATACAACACACTACTGATGCAAGCCACCCAACTTCCCAATTCACTTCAACCAGCAGTTTTCCATTAACAGCTTTTCTACTGGAATAGCTTTGCCAGCAAAACCCCAACCCAAAATACAACAATTAAGGAAACTGCTGGTTGTGTATGTTTCTTGTCAGAAGCCTAAATGCCTCCAAGCTAAGGCGAGCATTACTGGGGACTTCATTAGCTGCT